CCAAAGAGTTTTGCGTCTCTACGGAGCTTCTACGCAATTACACACATATTGACAAACAAGAAGCGTTCCACGATTTCAAGGTACTCAATGCCTTTCGGTTTGATTGCATAATGTTTTAGTAAATGTATCGAGACTGACCAGATTGTAAATGTTTGCCATTAATAGGAATAGTTCACAAAGACAATCGCATTAGTAATAACTCTATAGGCACATAGATTGTACTATCTTCTTCTTTTTTTTCTCCACCTTATCCCACTAGGTGGGATCGGCAGAGCTAATTTTTCTCTACCATTCTCTTCTATCAGCCGTCATCTCAACACGCAGTCCTCTCTCTCTCTTTCATATCGTCATTCACACACTCCATCCATATCTTCTTTGGTCGACCTTTTCCCCCTCTACCTTGCACTACCATTTCCATACACCTCCTAGTCACATGCATCTTCTCTCTACGCATCACATGTCCATACCACGCTAACCGTCCGCTCTTTAATTTGTTGATTACCGGGGCTACTTTCACACTTCCTCTGATATACTTACTCATTCTACAATACTACATACTGAACAAAATTTAATTTTAACTATTCTTGTTTTGTTTGTTTAATTCTGAGGGTCTTACGGTATCATGCATCTTCTCTTATGTAATATTTCTCGTATGGTCATCACGTTGCTTATATAGAACATATATTTGAGATAATCTTGGCATTTTCACTCACTGTCAGACCTTAGAGTTTGTTCAACAATCCTCGAGCCATACATTGGAGAACTTTAAGAGATTTTACTAATTGTCAATTTTCATTCCGCAGCTTCTTGGAGACAGAGGACAAGGAACGCAGGCCTCGGCCAGTTTTTATGATCCCAATACTCAAGTGTTGTTCTATGGCCAGGTGAGTTGCAATAGAATATACATACATTGTTGTTTAAAGTTTTAAAGATTAGGTAGCTAACATTTCGTTCCTCAAGAAGTTTGTTCGTGTTGTTTATTTTCGTATTACATATGTATGATTGCCAGTTCTTTTCTTGGAAGTAAAACTAAATGCATATATTTCTTTTGTGCAAATATGCAGACGATGTTCACGACCACTGGAAACTGGGATATTGCATGCCTCTTCAATTGTTTACGAAGATACGTATTTCTGGGTTATGTTAAATATTTCCAACTTATCTAAAAATTCTTATAAATGATGAATAATACTGATTCCAAACAGAAAGAACAATAAATGAAGTTAATAAAACGCGGCAAAATAGAAATTAATGTATTGATGTAAATAACTCAATTGATACCACTCAGAAAATAAAACTGGTTTATCAGTTACATAACTTTAACCAAAAAACGGAAGTTACCAAAGCTTAGGGAAATACTTTCATATTTTAAAATAATCCTTATTTATATATTTAGGTAAACCGGGATGGGGTGGGATGCTGGAATTCTAATAAACCTTACACTCCTGAGAACAACGTACTGATATTCAGTGATCCCAAACTTTACGAATTTCCAAACGACTTAAAGGTAAGACGATTAAGATTTTGAATTATGTAATACATATAACAAATCACACTCTCTTTTATTGGCATAGATAGCTCGAGACCCAAATCGCTTTTACTGTAATAGCGCTGGCCTAGCTTTCAAAGTAAAATACTTAAATACATGGTGGCAGATATAGCAGACTGCTGATTACCGTAGGGCTTTTGAACATCCCTTACACAAGTACTAAGAGTAATAGTAGGATGATAAGTTAGGGATACTATAATACTAGTTAGAATAATGCATGTGGTATACCTACCCGAATCTTCTGAGCATTAGTGACACAGAATTATTTTCACGTGAACAGTCGAACTACTAATGGTGCTTTTAGGTCCCCCAAGCACCGGTCATCGTACTCGTCGAATCCGTTGCTTGCGACGAAGGGATCGGCGAGTAAATTAAACCATAGACACAGCTCGCTGAGTTTCTCACCGGATCTTCTCAGTGGGTCGCTTTTCCGATCCGGTGGTAGATTCTGCGAAGCACTGCTCTCGCTAAGGCTAGTGTTAGCAACATCGTCAGGCTTGAGCTCATCCACTAGTTAAGGTTACGCTGAAATAGTCTCCCAAGACCATCAACTTAGGTAGGAAAAAAAAGTGAACAGTTTTTACCTAACTGAACACTCTTACGCATTGTAGATTGATGACGAAGGCTTAATGTGGATCCTGGTCGACAAACTCCCACGGTTCCTGTACAAGACCCTCGATCCCAATGAAGTGAACTATAGAATTTACAGTATTAGTGCAAAAGATGCAATTGCAGGAACAGCATGCGAATAAATACTGTATACATACATATTAGTTTTGTATAATACTTATTAGTTTCGTTCAGTTTTTATTTAAAACTAACAGTAATCCGACACATACGTTGGTGATTTGTGTTTTTTTTTAGATCTGTTCTCAAGTTTGGTAACTAACATAGATGGTAAATTCCTTAATGTCCTCGTACAGAATTAATAAAATCTCAAATGGCCGTTTGGAGCAATTTAGCAGCAAAAATGAAAACCATTTAAAATTGTAGACTTCCAATTAACTTTGTTCAATTTTCGTTTGATTGTATTTTTAGAGAGTAGTAGTAAATTATTATGAGTTATAGATGTTTTATGGAAAAAATAACTAAACAAAATCTTTTTCCATTTTGATTATTTTTTACTGTGTTAGTTTGAGGTTTGTTAGTAACTGTCAAGATTGTCACTATTTTGATTATTTTTTTGTAATAATTGTAAAGTCTAGTTGCTTTAACCAGTGAGTGGAAGGAAATTGTTTTATTGTTATAATTATCGTAAAATTTGTCTCAATTATTGTAAATATATAAAATAATTGTTTTCATCGTGAACTTTCTATATATTATTAGAATTAGAATAGTAAGAGACTTATTAAGCACTTCACGTCTTAAGTATAAAAAAATGGTACATATATGTTTTTTTTATTTATTTCCCTCATTACCAAGACGTTAAAGACTACCATTAAGACTACTACGCTTCCCTGTATCCTCGGCTGAACATCCGACACAGAGCCCGGGAAAGAGAGGATGGGTTATCGCGATCACAGCAGGTTTCGCTGACCCCTTACACTGACACACTTACTGGTGGTAGGACCTTTTGAGTCCGCACGGGTAGGTACCACCGCCCTACCTATTTCTGCCGTGAAGCAGTGATGCCTTTCGGTTTGAAGGATGGGCCGTTGTAACTATACTGAGACCTTAGAACTTATATCTCAAGGTGGGTGGTGCATTTGCGTGGTAGATGTCTATGGGCTCCAGTAACCAATTAACACCAGGTGGGCTGTGAGCTCGTCCGCCCATTTAAGCAATAAAAGTAAAATAAAAAATGACATGTCCTTATTCAAACGTGGCTTGTGAAGAGTAGTAAGCGATAGGCAGCGGTTTGGCTCTGCCCCTGGGATTGCTGAAGTCCATGGGCGGCGGTAATCACTCGCCATCAAGAGGGCCGTATGCTCGTCTGGCTACAAGGGCAATAAAAAAAAATATTACTTTTTGGATGTCTATGTGCTTCGGTAACTACTTCGCCCTGCGAGTCGGGGCCTTATTCAGCCGCCTAAACAGAAAAAAGGGTTCAAATTCACTAAAAATTCCAGATGTTATGTAAAATGTACTCTTTCATTCACACAGCGCCGTGTTTAAGTTGTCTTACATGCAACATGATTTTTAGTTGGTTATACTTTTTCTTATTATGAGATATCAGCCGTCATTAATAAAAAATTGAGTACACTCTTAAAAGTAAACTTGTTTTCTGACATTTAAACCAAAAGATCAGCTATGTTTTACAAATGACTTTCCTTAAGCAACACTACAATAGATATTTAACTTCAGGGTTGTGACACAGTTTTTTTTAATATTTTGAGGACATTTTATTTAAACATTTTACTCATTTTCAAGTATTTAAAGTGTGTACAGATACTAAAGAAAGTGCATCGAATACTTTTGGGCTCGTTTAAATCTGGTAGATTTGAACGAATTTCAACGATTTACATTATTAATTTAGTTACGGGTTGGCTCTGTGTCAAATCGGATTTAATAATTAGTTAATAACAGGTGGTCAAATGACTTCCAAGATGCTAATCATAAATTGTGTCATAAGATTTACCCTGGAAATACCATCGTCCTGCTTTTTTTTTAAGTTTGAGCGATTACTGTTGGCTCGGAGGCCTTTCCAGTTTTACCAGGGCAGGTGGGCGAGCAAGGGCTCAGTCAGGAGGGCTGGGATTTGCTAACAGCTACCCGTGCGCCTCCAAAGGAGACCTAACAACTCAAGAGTACCTACTACTTACTAACTAGCGGATCGAAATCGCGACCCACTGAGAAGATCCGGCAAGAAACTCAGCGGGCTGATGTTTAGGTTTGGTTGCATGTCGAACTCTTTGCCGAGCTCGACGAGTACGGTTATCGGGGTCCCTGCTCCTAGTGTTAGAGCCAAAGGTGTCTGATGCAAGGGTTATTGGATCTGATGGATCCGTAAGGACGTGTCTAGGGCGTCGACGGCGACTGGCTTCTGCGTGATCAGGATTCGGGGAGTAGTCAGCGCCGGCAACGATAAGGCGATTATCATGACGCATCCTGCATTTTCTATCTCCATTCTGGCTGTTTTTACCGAGAAGCACTCATTTTCTGGAATAGCTGTCAAACAACACAACTGACACCTTAACTATCTCAATTTGGGTGGCAGTATTCACGTTTTTTTTCTCTGTGAGTTCAAGTACTAGTTAACATAATAATAGTCGATAACCCACTCACCTACAGCTACTTCAAAATAATAAGTAAAATAAATCTTTTTTCCCGTAATTTTTTTGTATGATTGAATGTATCTATATTTGAGAGTGTAAGTTTATATGGTGAGTAGTAGAAATAAATAAATGTTATTAAGATGCATGTCTTCGCACAAGGCAGCCTTGTATCGTTAGCGATAACTAGTTTGTCGCGTTCATAATATTTTGCTTCATATCTGGCGTGAAGTGGGCTTCATTCACGAGAGGTTTGTCGTGTGGTACGGTCGCATCTACAGTAATCATGGCATCTAAATTCAAGTCGGAAAAGATTGGGATCGTCGGAAGGTGAGGAAAATTTAAGTTTCATAATTCAAAATTAGAAATATTCGGTGGGGTAATCTTCACAGCTTCATGTCTATTTAGCCGCCACATATCAGTAAATTAAATCATGAATTATGTAAAATGAAAAAGCGTTTGTTAATTACCTTTTTTCACGTTAACATTTGTATTAAGATTATGTGAATAGAAAACAGAACCCTTAAAATTTCATCTGGCCCAATTTGCTCGTATGTCACACTCATATCATTCGGAGAAGAAGCGTCGGTAGGCTAAAGGGAAAGAAGCATGCTTGTTTATATCGAACGATACAACTATAGCTCGCTGCAAATCTCGCAGGCAGGTATAATGTTTTCTATGATAATTCGTATCCGTTAGGTATATATATAATACAATTGAGACTTCAATCTCTAGTACATCTAAAGGTTAGGTAACATTCAAATTGTGACGCGTATGGTTTACAGTAACTACCTAATACAAGATGACCCGGCAGATCATTCACCCATCTAAAGGAATAAGATGGACTATATTTATAAACAGATTAAATATATTCATAATTTAATAATGTTATTAATACCAAGTGGATGTATTTTGAAAGGCTAGCTTATACTACAGGGTGAGGACGACGATATCACCATAAATCTAAAACTCGTATTTGGTGTAATATTCCCAGGACGCACAGAAAAAAAAAAACATACGTACATCTATAATTAACTGTTTAAACACAGTATCAATTTTCAGCCATAGTGTAGGCTTAGGCGAGTTCAGTGACCTATTGTTATGAAAATATATAAATAGCGACCTATTGTTATGAAAATAATACTAAAAATATTTTAAAAATATAAAGAAAACATATTATATTATACTTTTTTAAGTATGTATTGCAACAGAGAACATTTTTAATCGTTTTTAAATTATTCAGATCAGTCCTTCGGATGAAAAATATAATCACGTTTACGTAAGCGCCGTATCGTTGAATCTTGAGATCTATGTGGAAGAATTAGTTATATTAGTTTAAATGATTAGTCTAAATTTAGTTTTTTTTTATAGCTTAGATGTGTGGACGAGCTCACAGCCCACCTAGTGTTAAGTGGTTACTGGAGCCCATAGACATCTACAACGTAAATGCGTCACACCTCCCAACCTCAGGTCAGGTCTCAACCTCAGAACTTATATCTCAAGGTGAGATGTACCGGCTGCCCCACCCTTCAAACCGAAACGCATTACTGCTTCACGGCAGAAATAGGCAGGGTGGTGGTATCTACCAGTGCGGACTCACAAGGGGTCCTACCACCAGTAAAAACCAGTTTTACTTCAGTAAAAAATTGGTGATATTTACGTTTAGGAATTCGTAAATTCTTAGACAAATAGAGAAAATCAATTTGAACAAGACATGATACTTACACACATGTAAACAGTTTTTGAAAAATATAATTCTTTTGCCATTTATGCTCGTTTAGACTTAAACTTGGAAACATTAAAATAATAATAATAACTGGGAACACATTACGCATAGTCATCTGGCCTCAAATTAGGATTCTCTGTGTTATGGGTACCAGAGATTGACATACATATTTGTATACGTTCAATATATACATATATAGATAATAATCACTTAGGCAAAGAGTAAACAAGCCTGTTCATCACACGAATGTTTGCCTGGTGTGGGAATCGAACCCATGACCTTGAGGGGTGCTAAACACTACACCACCGAGTCAATCAAAGTCAGTTATTATTCAATCCCGTAATTATTTGGGATTACTTGTAATTACTTGTAAAAATTTACCTTAAATTTCATACCAACTACTTCAGTACTATGATTCATTCTAAGAATGATTCGACATGGAATTTTTCATTTATATTTTTAAGTTTTTTTAGTCCGAGTTACTTTTGAAGCATGTCAACGCCTTGGTAAATAGTGTAATTTTACAATAAAATTCAATAAATCATATTGTTCTTATTGTTATGGAGATTTCGGTAAAGTGCTATGTATTCTTATAGGTAAATATAACACACCTGTACATTGAAATATATATAAGTATATACGCAAGTTACGGCTAGTCCTCACGTACCTACCTATTGGTGGAACCAATATTTTATTTTATCGCAATCACAGAATTAAATAATTCCGATTTTGTAGTATTATATTAGAGGTCAATCAAACTTTCGATGACGATAACCAACAACATAAATTCGTATCTTTTAACGAGAGGTCATTAGTTCAGAATAAACATTTTGATAGATAAAAAAATTGAAAGAATCCAACTATTGTTTAAAAAATATTGTTGCCAGTTATCAGATGAAGTGCATAAAATAATTTAGCAACATGTAGGTACTTGTGACGCGCGATGGAAATATATCAAAAGACATTAGAGTAAAAAAAAAACGCCAAACTGCATTAGTTTGAAGCTTTTAGTAAACTGGGGAGAGTGACAATGATGTTTGAGCTTATAGTAGCGGTTCATCTATATGTAAAATGTATTTTAGTTTTGTGTGGTTTAATAATCATCTTATTATATATTTAAGTACATTACTGTACTCGACCTGTTGAGTACTAAAAGAAATTTTATTGAAATTTAAAAACTAAAGTACTACAGCGCGACATTATCAAGTATGGAATTCAATGGAGTTTAAATTTAATATAATACTGTTTTTTAATTTTCAGTGGCTTAATCGGGAGATCATGGGCGATGTTGTTTGCCTCAGTTGGTTATCAGGTTACTGTATATGATGTAGTCGCAAAACAGATTACCGATGCCATTGAGGACATCAAATACCAATTGCATACCCTTGAAAACGATGGTCTGTTACGAGGCGAGCTCAAAGCTAGCGAACAATTTCAATGTATAAAAGGTGAGTGCCTTCAAAAACCCTAGAAATAAATACAGTCCCCAGAGTTTCTCGACGGATCTTCTCAACGGGTCGCGATTCCGATCCGGTAGTAGATGTATTCGTGAAGCAGACGCTCTTGAGCTGTTACGTCCTCTTCGGAGGCGCTCGGACACCTGCTAGTAAATTCCGCCCCTCCTGGTTGAACCTGTGCTTCCTTCTTAAAAAAAGTCTGTGAATTATTTCAGTATATGTATACCTACGCTGTTAAGACTTGGTTTATGTGCATTGCATCATACCTACGTGTCTTGAGAAATTAGGTATTTCCTTTGAATGAAAACTAGTTTTCAATGAAAGAGGTCAACCGGCTTTTAAATTCAAAATTACTTCGTCCGTCAATTATAAATTTTTTTCACTCCGTAAATAAAAAATACACTACTATATTGATCTAAATTGAAACGTTTGCTTTCGGGAAAGGTACTGATGTACTTTCCCATTTCACTCTTCGACCATGACTGATTTCTTTGATATATTTTTTTGTCTTATTGAATCGACTGCAATTACAATAATCAATACCTAACCGAATTCAATACCTATACGATATACTTCAAGGTTTCTTTCGTCCACCTTGACTTTTAGCTACTTTGTTTAATGTTCAACAACTGCCTGCCACTGTTAATACAGTGCACATAATTTCGTTTATATTTTTTTACTATAACGGACAAGTTTCGATATCAGTGTTTTGTTATTTGCTTCCATGTTACCATTATGATAACAAATATTATGTAACAAGTTAAAAATATTTAACTGTCGTTGATAATATCGAATGTTTTCGTTTTATTAGTGTCACGACAGCTGTAAAATAATTATGTATTATCTTAGTAAGATTTGGTCACGATTTACCCGATTTTAGTGGTTATCGATTATATACAATTGAGACGCGAAAAATAATACACACAGCTAATTATGAAAATATAGATTTATGTATAAAAACGAAATACCACTCACTCGAGAAAAGATCGAAACTATCCATCCGATAGACTTTAAATATGGTCATAGGTACTCCTTTTGCAATTTAGGCTTCCCTTAAGAGCGCATTTTATGGAAATCCTATCCGGAACGAATTTCAATAGGTTTTATTTAATTTGCGATTTTTGGTCGTGTGTTTTTAGGCCAAATGTTGCAAGCTAAATTAGGACCACTTCTTCTTAACCTACAGAATTGAATTTCTCATCAACCATGCACATGCATAATAACAACATATACGCATAGCCAAAGCTGGCATTGTAACGTTGTTATAGTACTATTAATGTGTGGACCAGTGAGTGAGTTAAGAAACTTTTTACCTTGGCATAAAAAAAAAAAAAAAAAATTACAGGGTTGATACCAAAGTAAATGTCGAGTAAGGAAAGGAAATAAGTTTTATTTCAGAGAGCGTATAGTGTTGGTCGAGCAGGGTGCTTTTTTCAAGTAATGTATATATAACTAGGGTAACTTGGTATTAGTTCTTTTTATGGGCAAAGGTTGTTGGACCAATATTCAAATGTCGACGAATACCTAACACCTTAAAATCGGTGAAAATGAAATTGCCAAGTGTTAAAAAATTCGCAAATAAAATAGGCGAGATTACATAGTAAAAATTAGTTTAATTATAAATTTAAAATACAATTACTTACCTAAGCTTAAATAATAAAGTTCAGCTTTAAATTTTTTGTTAATACATATTTGTGTTTAAAATATGAAGAATGTTGAAAATTTCACAGGAAAAACATTGTAATAGTTATGGAACAATGCCTAAGAGTTATACTTAAACTGAACACGGCATTGAATAAATTTTCTAAATACTAAGAATCTAAACAGTACGGTTAAACGAAGGATTAATGGTCTGGAATAACGTTGCTCTCTTTCCTTGCTTAGGATCTGTCTCAACAGGAATTGTATTTCAACGATTTGGTGCAGTCCGACACCACTCCACAGTTCTCAAGGCATCGCATCCAGAATCAGATAAAGGAACCTCTTAAAATTACAATACTGACTGTGAATCGCAATGTAAATTAGTTCTTTATTCGTTCGTTATCTATAATAGATAAATTGTTTGCGCGATGTATGTATGTACATATTATACAATATGAATGGTTGTTTTTAAACTTCCTTCTTTTTATTTGAAGTTAGTTATGAATAGTTGAATAAAGTAAAGAATCTTGGAATTAAATACTAAGAATTTTTATGCATATCCACAGCTCAATGCGTTAACAGAACTTCAATAAATTATAGGCAGCATGTTTTGAATGCCACTCCTTACCCTAAAACAAGAGGTAGATTTTAATTACCTCATAACTACTTCTACCCGAAATCGGAACGTATGATTACTCAGCTACTGAAAAATGATGGTATTAAGCCGTGCGGACTTGGCTGCAGAACCCAGCACAAGAATGATAATAGTCTGATCAGCTAGCAAGCTGTTATGAATGATCCTATGATTGCAAATGGTAATGATAGTTGATCTTTAGCATAAAGCTTCCAAGATCAGGCTTGTTAATAAGGCTGCATTGTACCTCTAACTGACAATCGTTATATTCTGAAAGTGTGACAAAGTCATTCAAATAAATAAGAGCAGCGTGGAATGACAAAGAATATTTGCAATAGCAATAGTGTCAAATGGTGCGGATGCTTGGAATACGTAAGAGCACTGAGACGGTCGGCCTAGTAGTCTGGGTCAGGTGTGTAATTTGATGCGGTACGTTAAGAAGGCTATTGTGTCGCGCCGCTTTCTTTATGAAGCGTTCTGACGCTGTCTTTAGATATTACTTATAGGCTCTAATTCTAAATCGTCTTAAACATCTACATTCCTCACATACCACGGTACTCTGTGGGTCTTTATATGTATCATATTGTATCATCAACAGGAAGATCGTCATCGCCAAAACTCGTTGCAAACAACCACAAAATAGCTTAAGGATTTCTGCTCTAAAACGTTAAAACAAATACTTCTGATCCATGTGTTTAGCTGTTTTTACTGTTTTGTAAGAACATACTTCATACATACTATAGGCAATATACAAACTATAGGCTTGTTTGTAAGCCTATAGTTTGTGTATGAAGTATGTTCTTGAGAAAGTGAACTCCATATTAGAAAATATTGAAATTAACAAAGAAACCTTCATTATTGTTTAAATCTTCGATTAATTCCAGGGTCTACGGATCTGGCAACCGCAGTTAAAGGAGCAATATTTGTTCAGGAATGTGTTCCTGAGAATCTTGACCTTAAAAAAAAGGTGTTCCAGAATCTCGACAGCGTAGTTGACGATAACACGATATTATCAAGTTCAACAAGTACTACTTTGCCATCATTATTCTCTGAAGGATTGAAACATAAGTCTCAGGTGAAGCTCGTCGCCTTTAGATTTTAAATCTATAGCTATACTAATATTATAAAGAGGAAAGATTTGTTTGTTTGTTTGTTTCGAATAGGCTCCGAAACTACTGGACCGATTTGAAAAATTCTTAGAAGCCGACATTGTCCCTGATGAACATAGGCAACTTTTTTTTTTTTTGTTTTTTTTTTTTTTTTGGTTTCATGTGTGTTTTAATGTTTCCGAAGCGAAGCGAGGGCGGGTCGCTAGTATTGTATAAAACTGTTTATGTATAGTGACATAGTCGTGAAATTCAATAGTAAGGTCATGACGATTTCAAATTACTTGATTTTGATTAGTTTACAAAATTGACTATCATTACTTAAAAGATTTTAATAATGTAAAAGACAAATTTGTATGGATTCAACACGATTACATTCCATAAAGATTTCTTCTAGTGAACAACAATCATGATAGATGACAGTGAATTTATGGACTAATATATACATTGTTTTACTATTGGTCGTAAGGTTACTTGACAGCCCGCATGGGTAGATACCACGATCCTGTCTATTTTTACCGTGAAGCAGTAATGCATGTTGGCCTTAAGGGCGGGGCAGCCGTTATACTGTAAAAGCTGAGACTTAGAACTTATGTGTCAAGGTGAATTGCGGCATTTACGTTGTAGATGTCTATGTGCTCCAAACCACTTAACACCAGGTGGGCCGTGAGCTCATGCATCCATCGAAGCAATAAAAAAATATAATAATAATATCTATGTCACCATTTGATGTTAAACCCGCACCCGGTATTTAGACTATTAGTGTTCCTTTTTCCCCTTTTTATTTACGAATTATCATTTATTATATTACCCCCCTCCCTCACCCCCTTGCAGTATATAAGTTGTTGAAGTCTATGGGTTCCTGTATCCACTTAACACAAGCGGGCCATGAGGTTGTCAACCCATCGAGGCACTAAAAAATAATTTCAGGTCAGGAGGTAAAACTCAAATAATTTCAGGTCATTGTTTCTCATCCGGTGAATCCACCTTATTACGTACCCCTTGTTGAAATTGTCCCAGCACCCTGGACTAAGCCTGAAGTTGCTAAGAAAACCAGGGAAATTATGGAAGAGATCGGACAGCAGCCAGTTTCTTTGACCAGGGAAATAGACGGATTTGTTTTGAATCGAATTCAGTGAGTATTTTTTGTATTTTATTGGTAAAATTTTAGGGGGACCATTATCATCATTTGACTAATGGACAGTTCTGTTCTAATACATTTTAGTTTACGAGTTTTTTTTTTCATTTCCTGTGGACCTTCCCTGCTTAGGGGGTGCCCCACAATGCCGTCGTAAGTGCTTAGGGCTAGTGCGCCATGTTTATTATTTTTAATCCGTACAGACGATGAGAAGGTTCACTGTGACTTATCAGACGACAATTGATCTAGATGGATGCTCTTTTTGGCTTGATGCCTAAAATTCTTTAACCTTTCTGTAGTGTTTATTAGAAGTGTGTATAATGTACCCTTGTACAGCTTGGAGTGTATGGCTTCTTACGTTTTTGTGGCTTCGAAGCAACGTGAGCCTTGAGCATCACTTTTCTGGCATATTTAATAATCTTTAGAGATCTATCAATTTTAAGAATGTTTTAGGACTAGGGCGTTACTAATTGGAGTGCGTATTTTAGAATATATGTTCGGTGAAGCTAGTATAACCTCTCGAGGTCAATAGCTTACGTAGAGGGGAAAAAAATATTATAAAACTTTAATAGTTTTTCTTATTCAGATACGCAATTCTTGATGAAGTTTGGCGTCTCGTTGACGACAAAGTTGTTGATGTAGCGGATATTGATAAAGTTATGTCGGAAGGACTTGGAATGAGATATGCATTTTTGGGTGCTCTAGAAACAGCCCATTTGAATGCTGAAGGCATGCAAAGTTATATTGATAGGTAAGTTGTGTGTATTTAGTGGTCCGTTTTACGGGCCTTACGTTTTCAAAAAAACGGGAGAGGCGAATGCGAGCTATTTTCTTGATATAGTAGCTTAAGTAACATGCTTTTGCTCAATATAACAATTAGTATTTACACTCAGCTTAGTAAATGAACTTTTTTTTCGTTTTCCTTGGACTAGTTGTTAATTAGTTATTGGTTTTTGGCTTCAATATGTGTTTCAGTACACGCTGTGCTTAATTTTTTTTTTCTTCACAATAGATACGGAGAGACAATTTATCGTGTCAGCAATGAAATGGGACCGGCTCCGCGTATGACGACAAATAAAAGCAGAAACTCGGTGTGCGAACAATTGGAGAAGTTAGTACCGATTGAAAAACTTCAAGATCGTCGTAATTGGCGCGATCTTTGTTTAATGCGTCTGTCACTCCTCAAGAAAGAAATGAACAAGAAATACCAGAGTTCGTGATGTGTATTTCATGACAACGCATTTAAGAACATTTTTATAGTTTGAAATATACTTTTCCAGTGTTAAATCATTTTTTATTATTGTAGATGGTTTCATGAGCCAAACAGTAGAAGAGAGCTCAAAGAAACACAATCTGAATGTCGTCTCTCACTTTGAAACATGAGGACGATGTTTTTTCATTAGTCACAACCCACCAGCTATTAAGTGGTAACCGTGCATCATCTCAAACGCATTCTATGACTCTTGTCTTACTCTTCGAATCTAACTATCAGATTGTTTCACGGTAAAAATAGAATGGTGACGCCTTATATGTGCGGTGTCATGATACTTCTTACCATTAGCAACAAAGCTATGTGAAGGATTTAAACGTATAACGGCGGTGGCTTATTATCCGTTATGAAACTATGAAATTGCAAAAGTGTAAGAAAATAAAATAAAGTCCCTAGACGTAGGTCCTCAGATTTTTTTAAACTGCACGTGAAGTTTCAGTAAATTCTAACTAATTACTGACACTAGGTATTTTATTTTATTTTATTTCGTAAAGCATCAACATTCATTGAATTAAATGTACTTCACCTTATTTTGATCCACAACATTTCTCATTTCTGAATATGTAACTAATAGGTTGGGGGAAAAAGTCTTTTCGCAATATAGTATGGAATGGAAGGGTATTACATATTCAGTATGAGCTGTTACCGCCAGGCAGAATCATCGATTTTAAACTCCACTGCGAACAACTGATGAGATTAAAGCAAGAAGTTGAGAGAAAGCGGCATTAATCAACAGGAGGGGTGTGGTTTTTTATCATGATAACACTAGACCTCACACATCTTTAGCCACTCAGCAAAAATTAAGAGAGCTTGGCTGGGAGGTGTTAATGCAACCGCCGTATAGTCCTGACCTTGCACCTTCACATTTTCCACCTGTTTCGGTCTCTTCAGAATTCTTTAGGCAGTGTCAGGTTAACATCACGAGAGGACTTCCAAAACCAATTGTCGCGGTATTTTGATCAGAAGCCCCAAAATTTCTATAGCAATGGAATCATGTCCTTACCTACAAGATGGCAAAAAGCTATCGAACAAAATGGTACCTACGTATTTTAGTTAAATGTAAATAAACTATATTAAAAAATGTTGTGAATTTTCTTTTAAAAAATGCGAAGAAACTTTTTCTTCAACCTATTATATACCTATATATTTTTAATACTCAAACCTGGCTTTACTGGGTGATCTTTTGATTTGAATTTGATTAAACCGCTACTAAACTTCACAGTGCAACTTATCCACTCCCCAGTGTCATGTCAAATCTCATTTATTAGATACCACTTAATATATAAGGCCACCCGCTAGGCCCCTTTGGAAATTTTCTGGAAATTTCATCAATATAGAGCTTCGACTTTTATAATTACTTAATAATAATAATATATAATAAATAATTAAGTACTCCACAGTTTCCACGGTCACGAATGATTGAAGTCTGTATTCGTGTAAAAGTAGTTTTAATTTATTTAGGTATTTTTATTTATTTAATACACTGCAATTGCATGTAATAATCATAATACATAATGCTTATGGCAATCTCTACCAGTCAACCATAGGTAATGCAGAGTAAAATTTAATGGTAGGCGCAATGAAATTTAATTTAAATTACAAATAGGTACAGACACAAAAATAGAAACATACCAAATGTGAATATTATGTAAATATATACATATGTATACACACAAATAGATATACATACATATATAAATATATAGTTTATACGATGCGATGCCACTGCGAGGTGGGATGAAATTAAATAAGACCCCATTGTATTGGTGTATTTGTACTTCTGTGGATGTTTTTCGGACAACTCGAGAAGCGTCGTCGTCTAGTGAATTAAATTCTTTATCTAATGTTTGTGATTTTTACAAATTCCAGTAAGCTTCTAATTATTATTTATAATACATAATATAATGCAAAATCTATTTACAGTTATTAAATTACAACGAGGATCATTTTATTAAGCACTTTATATAGTCTGTGTCGGAGGCTAAAACATCGAGAAGCCAATGGTTGTATACAAAATAAAAAATTTGAAATTGAGTTTGGTTGAACAGTTTTGACTATGAGTAATCTGACTGAGAAAATTTATTTACCAGTGTAAATGTGAAGCAATTTATTTTCAAAGTAAATTGAAATTAGTAAAATTTTATTGCGTGTGTTATGTACATAGTTCATAAATGCAATTTTTGTTTGTTATGTGTTTATGATCTCATGACAGAAGGCCTTGCAATACGCATAGATTTACAGAAAAAAATAATACAAATGTGTTGTTTTGATAGATAATGGATCCAAGAATGTGTAGGAAAATCAGTAGTAGTGAAAGTCTTCCAGACGGTGATAACGTGGAGTATGAGATATCAAACGTCATTGCAGCGCAAGAGAGCGACGATAACTTTATGCTGGATGGAAGTCCGGAACTCCATTCTGTGACATGGCTGGACGATGAGCAGATAGAAGATTTAGATCTTAATTTAGAGCAAACCAACTTGTGCTTTCATAGAGTCGATAGTGCTGATATTATATACAGAAGCAGAAAGAAAAAATGTAAAATGGTTGGAAAGTATGTCATGGGTGATGTTTTAGGAGAAGGTTCATACGGAAAAGTCAAAGAAATGTTAGACTCGCAATCTTTATGTAGGCGAGCCGTAAAAATTCTTAAAAAGAGGAAATTAAGAAGAATACCAAATGGTGAACAAAATGTACAGAGAGAGATACAATTACTAAGAATCCTTAGACATAAAAATGTGATAGAACTAGTCGATGTTATCTATAATGATGAGAAACAAAAGATGTATCTTGTTATGGAATTCTGTGTTGGAGTATTACAGGTAATTTTGATAAACATACAATTGAACATTTTTTTCTGTAGTTAGGCAGATTAGGTCACAAACCACTGAGTAGCATCTATAGTCTATAGGTGTCATAATTTGAATGCTGCTACCTACATTAAGACAGATGGTTGGTTGTATAATGGATGTCCTTCCCTTCAATCTAGAACAGCCAGCTGCTTATCTGCATGAATAATAATAAAAAATACCCTACCAGCAGTACAATAATAAAAATGCACCATATAAATTCATTTCATAATTTTTGTAATGATTCTCATTGAAACACTGGAGCATAGGGTGTATAGTATGTATTTCCTAAGCAGAAAGAAAAGGCTAAAAATTATTCAGTAATAAACCTAACGAATTAGTAGATTTTATAATGAGTTACAAAGCAAAGTCCTTTTTTATTTATCCATTCGTCATACACAAAAAGGAATGGCTACAAATATCAGTCCCATTATCATAGTTGTCATAATAGTACAAAAAAAATCTTTTTGGCAATTTTTATTTGTTATATATTTTCAGAACTACTACTATGTTTACTACCTACAGTGTTTTTAGCTTAAGAAAAAAAAGTGTTATTTTAATGTTTTTGATATTACAAATAAGTATCTACTAGTTTTACAATATGCTGAAATTCATATCATATGTAAAGCCAAAGAAGTTGTGAAATTTTGCAGTTTTGAAATACATGTCATCATCATCCTAGTGTCCTAATCAACATGGAAATGAAATTTTTTATTGTGTTAACTTGTGAATCAGCTCACTCTCCACCTGGTCACAAAGTGGTCACCAGAGTTCATTGACATCACATTGTGAATGATGTCACAACTTGAGACATGAGGTCGCTACTTAAATTGTAACTTTTTATTTGAATTATTGATTTTTCATTGTGTTTGTGTGTGTGTATGTGTGTGCCTTTTGTACCTACACTATGTATTTTAATCTTGTTTAACTAAATAAACAGATTATATTTTAGGACATGCTGGAGTCAAGTCCCGGTAAAAAGTTTCCTCAAAGACAAGCTCATGATTACTTTCTACAGCTGCTGGACGGATTAGATTACTTGCATGGGCAGGGTGTTGTACATAAAGATATTAAACCAGGAAATTTACTTCTGACACTGGATCAAACTCTCAAAATCACAGATTTTGGTGTTGCTGAGGTATGTTTGTTGTATGCCCAACAATCTTGATAACTTAACTAACTAATGATTTCTTCATAGTGTAGAAACTATTTTGATACATTTGTTTATTTTGATAGGCAATGCAAACACTTAATTGCTTAAACATTAATAAATTAAATACAACATTAATAGGTTGCCAACTGTCAACAATGCTGGGATATCCCTAACATCATACTACATCAGAAAACTGAAAATGAAGTTGGTCATTCCCAATTTCGTGATGTGCCCAGTCAATTAATTATACTGATGGGTTAGAAATACAATAAGCTTCTATGAGGCTTTGTAATGTACATACAAACACAACATATTCTCCAATAAATTTATCACGTTGCCAGGAAATTTAACACACTTTAAAAGTTGGTAAAATTTTCCAAGGTTTTACTTGATTACTCTGGTCCGATGAGTATGTAATGTACTACATATTGCTGAGTTTACAGGATAGTAGGGAAATATCATAAAGGTTCTCAGTAGGTGATAGTTGTGACCATCAATACAAGGATTGCAAATTATGAACGAGGACATACATATGATTATTATTCACAAGAATGTTAAAATAAACAGACATTGAAATAACTATAAAGTGTTTGACCTACACTAGTCTAGGTTGTGAACAATAAAGTGTAAATAATAAAATGTAAAACATCTTTAATTGTTGTTGGTCAAGGACCTCTACAATAACAAATATAACTAAGACCAGCCTTTAATAATCACGTTTACTGAATACTACTGTTAACAATATATACTGAGTTTTTTTAAGGTTTATGTTTTCTTAATACAATTATTATTGATTGAGCCATTTTCGTCATTGTTTTTTGATGCTTAAAAGATGAAAAGAAAATGTGGGGATTTTGAAAATTGGAGCTACCACTTTGAAGTGGATTATAGTATCCATGTCGTGATGTCTATATTCTCAATGGACCACTTTACACACGGCGGACTGAGAGCTTGTTCACCAATCAATATAATAAATAAATAAAAACTTTGTCACAGTGTCGATTAACTTTTTTTTTATTGCTGAGGTGAGTAGACGAGCTCACGGCCCACCTGGTTTTAAGTGGTTATCGGAGCTCATATACATCTACAACGTAAATGCCGCCACCTACCTTAAGATATAAGTTCTAAGATTTCAGTATAGTTATAATGGCTGCCCCACCCTTCAAACTGAAACGCATTACTACTTCACGGCAGAAATAGGCAGGGCGGTGGTACATACCCATGCGGACTCACAAGAGGTCCTACCACCAGTAATCACGCAAATTTTAATTTTGCGGATTTTATTTTTATACATGATGCTATTCCTTCAATGTGGAAGTCAATCGTGAATATTTTTTAAGTACGTACTTCATTAGAAAAAATGGTACTTGCTGGCGGTATTTTAAGCATCTTATCCTTTAGACCACGACGACTATTCCATTATGCATAAATATTGATTTAAATTATATTCAAATGTGTTTCATTTTAAAGAAAATTTGTATTATTCAATTTAAATTGTTAGTGTATACAATAATATGTTTTGTAAACAATGTAGGAAATTATAAATCTCATAGACAATCTACAAGAATCAATTAGACTAGTTGAAAATTCTAAATCATCAATTCTGACAGTACAGAATTAGTATAAAAGTGTATCTTAATTTTATTTAAAACTAACTTAATTTTAAAATTTTACCTGATAATTATATATAAAAAAAATATTCTTTCAGGCATTAGACATGTTTTCACAGGAGGATATATGTTACACAGGACAGGGCTCACCTGCATTCCAGCCTCCAGAGATAGCCAATGGTGCTGAACAATTTTCAGGAACTAAAGTTGATATATGGAGCAGTGGAGTTACATTGTAAGTTGACTTATATCCTTAGTGGCAAATACCCTTAAAAAAATTGATATGAAATTGTTTTAAGTCCTGTGGTTATGTTATGGTTTTGATCCTGGGTCAGATATCAATGTTACTATGTAAAATAAGTCCCTTACAAATGTTGATGAACAAGTTTCATGATGTGTTATCTGGTGGTATTATATCCTGTATTGTATTTGTAACATAAAGCTTGTGATTTTACTTCATGCCTCACAGGTCAAAGCTTTTAATGTATTGAATAATGATTATCCTGTCAGATTCAGGATAGGATTCAGAATAACTAAGCATTCAGAATAACTATTCTACACTAAATAGTGGAATCTCTTCATGCAATATATAGCAACTATTATACTTACAAATTGATTTCCTCAACTTGCAGTACATACATGACTCACATAAAACATAGTATGACTAATAATAAAGGAAAATTTACATTTCATGTGGGAACTGACCTGAATCTATTTAAATACAATTAAATACTGGTATTAATTAATTGAAACGAATGTAAATATTTGCCAAAATCTAAAATAAACAGTTATACCTATTTGAACTAATAATGTCATTATGATGCTCTATCAGTTTTTATTATTATTAATATTGTGATGGAATCCCTAATTTTCATTAATAAGGTGTGCTATAGGGTTGATATGTAAGAGAATTACTCAATAGACTCGCAAAAACAGCTTTACCATATTCAAATCGGATTGCCTGACTGCTTTGTGTGCTAACTTGTTTTTTGTTATATATTTGTTTGTTGTTGAGTGAGTTAATGGCCACCGGGTATTCAGTGGACACAGACAGTGAACATTTCACAACTCACCTTGTAATATGACTTCTAAGTATCATTTCTATAATAAAAACGACTATCTCCACTCTTCTTTTTTATGTATGAGAGATTACTGGTGGCTCGGAGGCCATTCCAATTTTACCAGGGCAGGTGGGGCCACCCTTTAAACTGGAATGCATTACCGCTTCACGGCATAAGCACGTGGTGGTACCTGCTCGTGCTTTGTCATAAGGCCTTACAACCAGTATATCGTGAGGACTCTACCTCCACGTGGTGGTACCTGGTTGTGCTTGGTCATAAGGTCCCACCAACAGTATACCGTGAGGGCTCTACCTCTTGCCTACCCGTTTGACCGTTAGTAAAAACATATATGATAAACTTATTTTCGATTCGAACGAAAAAATCAAAGTGACGGTCTTTAGTTGATAGAGTGTACTAGATGTGCGATATTAAATTGTATAGGTACAACATGACAACAGGGAGGTATCCGTTCGAGGGTGACAACGTGTACCGATTGCTGGAGGCGATAAGCCGGGGTCCCCCCGCGCCCCCGCCCGCGAGCGTGGGCCCCGCTCTCAGCGCTCTGCTCGTGCACATGCTCAACCGAGACCCTACACTAAGGCCCACCGTCCACGAGATCAGGAGACACGCGTACGTATCATCCACTGTAGTTTTTGTTATGTAACATCTACTATTTTTCTTAATCACCAAGTCTGGTTCAATTCCATGACGTGTTCACATTACGTCATTTATTGCATCATAATATGAATGATATATCTTTTTTCACCATAGTGACAGTTTTTTGTCTGTTTTATGTTAGTTAATATGGAAGCAAACGTATCCTATTTGACTGTTCAATCAATTTACACAGACCACATGCTTGAAATATGTATGTTTTAGATTCTGTTTATAAATACGAAATAACAAGATATTCTTGTATCTGTATTTCGAGTGTAGTCTGTGTAATCGCATATGAATGATATGTTTTTGAAATAAAATCGGTTAAATTCCCTATTTCGTACAGTATTTCGTATTGTAATTGTCTGTGGGTCCGACGAGTCCCACAATTAATCAGAATCAGAAAATTTCAGCCCTACGTTCGAAAATTTCATTCTGTGCAACCTGTAGCTGCAACTGTTTGCAGACCGCCATCAATGGGGTAGTGATGTAACCAAGAAAAAAAAGGATTCTTCGGTGGACATAATTAATCGCGATTTTTTATTAAAATCGTTACAATTAATGCTTAACTATGTTATTTGTTACGATTTGCGTTTTTGAAGTCTTACATAATATGATCCCGTCATAATGTATGATTATTAAACACGAAATGGAAAATTTGCAATCACGCAAATGACTCGCATCGGTCCAATAAAAGGTTTATTTTATTGGTTATACATAATAATATGTAATATTTATTTAAAATCGTACGGGAAGCGACTTTTATTCGGTTCTAAATTATGTTCGTTATGTAAAAACTCTCCTCATCAACACCCTCGTAACGTAAATTTAGTAGTAAAGAACAGAAATGTGTGTGAATTCCTAACGCAACAAAACACTGCTATGATTTCATTTACTGCAATAAAACGGTAGGAATAATAATAATGTACATTGAACACGCTGCAAATGATGACATAATTTCAAGGATATTCCGTAATGTAAATATTATTCTACGTTAACAAACCGAACACACATTTTAATGCACGACGATAGGTACTTGAAATTCGTAAATTAATGTTTGTTCGTGGATCACATTGCGATCAACTTGAATCGTTTCGAGAAGAAAATGTGTTTGGACATTACAATAACAAAGTTTAACAATTTTGTTTGGTTAAGCATTTGATTATTGCTTTGTATATACTCGTACAATCTTCTAATGTTAAAAAATTAATGAGCGTGTTGTTTTTTTTGTTTTTTTGTTTGTGCTACATTTTTTTTTTTTTTTTTTTTTTTTTTTTTTTTTTTTTTTTTTTTTTTTTTTTTTTTTTTNGCGCGATTACTACAGGACAAAGAAAAAGCACAACAAAACCGAAATTACGAAAAGAAACAAAACAAATAAATACTTGCAGGAAACCACTTTGTCGGCAGATGTACCACGAACACAGAAACAACAAAAGGAAACAAAACAAATAAAAACTTCCAGAAAGAGCACTTAGTCGGCAGATGTACCACAAACACAGGCCGCGCGAACAATGGCCGGGCGATCGAGTGGACGATGAGCACGTCCGCACGTGACGGGTGCCTCTATCGGAATGGTTTGTGCTACATCCGTTTGATCGTCATTTATATATAAATGAGTCGGAACTTTGTACAGTTGGTTCGCATTACACAGAAGTTGGCATGTCTTTGTTTTTTTTTTCTATAACGTAAATGCCGCCACTCAATTTAACACATGAGTTCTAAGTTTCTACAGTACAACGGCTTCAAAACGAAACACATTAGTGCTTCACGGCCGAAATAGGCTGGGTGGTATTTGGTACCTAACTCGTGCGGACTCACAAGAAGTCCTACAACCATTAGAAATATCTCTTATTTGCGCGTGAATCGTTTCAATAAATGTGTGAAGAAATCGAAGCGTGACCGATGTTAATTAATACCGAATACGGTCTAACTGAAATGTCATCAGTTACAGCTTACAACTCAATATATTTATCTCTTATCAAAATTTTTAGGAAATTATAGAAGCAAAATAAATACCATTACGGTTCAATTTCGCGTTTCCTATATTTTCTTATTATTATTTTATCCGACGTTTCGGTTATTTTACAGTTTACGTGATCACGGATTATTAAGGTGTTATTCGTCGACATTTGAATACTGTTTATATATTATGTACTTATGTCGACTTGCGAAAACCAAAGTAGATAAAAAACTATAGAAGTAATGCCCTCATGATCTGTGTGCTTAGTGCGAGTTTTTTAACGTTCTCGATAGCGTAAAAGGTATCCCAATTTTCTACCTATGCAGTTAAAACAGCGCCCCTAACGGAAAACGTAGGCAAACGATCCGATTCCATACAAATATGAGCTAACTTTTACGCTATCGAGAACGTTAAAAAACTCGCATTAAGCACACAGATTGTCTTCGATTGGGTGTCGTTCACGTTCGATGTTACGGTTACAATTAAAAACCGTCGGCGTTGGATTGTATGTAACAATAAACTGTGTGTGTGTGCTCTTGACGCTATGCAATGTAAATATACAACGAATTTCTGTGAAGAACGTTTTTTGTTGTCTGTTACAGAAAAAAAAGCTGTTTATGAAATTAAATTAAAATTATAAAATCATTTATTTCAGAAATCAGTTCATAATAATATGTACCTCATAGAACAGAATAATTGAAATACATCACGTAAATCTTGATCAAATTCAAATTATGCCAGTACATCACGTAAAACTTGACGCGTAACGACTCCCGTTAATAATGATGATAAGAAATTTTATGATTTAACACGTTGACCGCACTGAAGTAATTATATCGATTTATCTCTTCGATTATCTTACTAAGGCGCCGGAAATATCTAATAGACGCTGAGAAAGACGAAAGTAAAGATACTGAGAATAAATTTATTTCTAAGAGACTTAAAAGACTAAAATATATAATAACAAACAAAAGAACTTAGTAACACAAAATCGATATAATTAGGTACCTCAGTGCGCCGCGTAGGGTACCAGTGACATACATGGCCTGGTCAACGTGTTAAAAAAAAAACATTTTGACATAAATTCCTCAGATGGGTGCAGGCAACACCGCCCTTCGAACCAGGCGAGAAACTAGTGAATCCGAGATCTCGACGTTCCGACGAGCTTCACACTTCGACTGTAATACCGTATCTCGTCGAGAGGCATTACGCTTCGGCGCAGGAATACTTCACCGAAAGGGACCTGCGGCAAGGTTGGTTTACACTAATCTGTGAATTAATACTTAAGCAAAACTTTTTACGAAAATTGCGCGGACTAAGGCGTATGAAATTTCCCACACTTATAGAGAATATAGAGAAGCAGTGCAGAATGCTTTTTTTTTTAATTATGCCCAAAAAATACATTAAATCAATAAATAAAAAAATATTATACACACATTATACACACATGTATTTGACACACACACACACACATATATATAAATACACACATATTGTTGTAAAAATTTTGTTATTGCTTAAAGTCTGTGGTCAAATTGAGAATAGATTAATATTGTTTATCTTTAATATTATTTTTCTATAGTGTAGTCTTGGCGAAATTTGTGATTATAGAAATATACTTTCTTTGTGTTTGACAATAGAACCATAATAATGTTCAAACTTATAATTTCAATTAATTAAAGTTGAATTTCGACTACTGCGGGACCACTAGCAAAACGAATTTGTCGAGTTTACATATTAAAAAAAAAAAAATCTATGTCGCCATTTTTAATCCGATTTCAAATCAACAATGGAAATCATAAACCCCGGTTTATTTAACTAAATGTATTCAACCGATTGTCTTACTAAATAATGATAATTGCCGCAAAAGTTAAAAAAAAGTCGTTAATAATGTCAATTTGTTGGCACTTTCCTTCGACTGTGTAAATTCTACGCAACGAAATGTTTACGGAAGTCATAGCAAATTCACTGTTTCACATAATACCGATATAGTCGTTATAGAATACCGATATAGACCTATCGTTATTACATAATATCTGAGATGTGATAATATTAGGACGTGACTAAAATACATGTATTGATTATTTATGAACTCAGCGATTTAAATCAATTACGTAATTTTGCGTAAATGGCAAATTTTTAAATACGATACAGAACCATCAATAATCACGAACAAAATAAAATTCACAGAAGTGTTATTTATTAGACTTCTCTTACTGTTAGCTGTAGCTAGTTAGCTGTAGTCGTTAGCGGAACCTACCGTACAACACAAGATATTTGATAGATTCCTGAATCTCCCTAACGATATTTTCAAAATAAGCCTTCATATATAGTTCCGAAGAACTACATTCGAACGGCCTGTCTACACCCTCCGAAGCACGGCTCTTGCTAGGGTTCTTGTTAGCAACGTCGTCAGGTTTGAGCTCCGTGAGCTCACCTACTGGTTAAAGTTACGCTGAATACTGGTAGGACCTCTTGTGAGTCCGCACAGGTAGGTACCACCGCCCCGCCTATTTCTGCCGTGAAGCAGTAATGCGTTTCGGTTTGAAGGGTGGGGTAGCCGTTGTGACTATACTGAGACCTTAGAACTATATCTCAAGGTGTGTGGCGCATTTACGTTGTAGATGTCTATGGGCTCCAGTAACCACTTAACACCAGGTGGGCTGTGAGCTCCTCCACTAATCTAAGCAATAAAAAAAAAACGGTTAAGGTAGGAAAAAAAGGCCTGTCTACCAAGCAATTTGAACCGCTCGGTAGAAGATCTTCCTTTTGTCGTTCCTCCTCCTTGCGTCGATAATCCTAAATGCTGATGGTCGTAGGCTCCTTTAATAACTTTCTCCTGGATTATCCTGCGCCAGACCTTCCTATCCTTGGCCGAGCGGATGGTATAATGAACTGAAGTATTTAGAGTAGAGTTTATCTGGTCCGACCAATGCATTGGGCTTCTGCCTTTGGGCCTTCTTCCGCATACCTAGCCTGTTACCGGCTTCTTTAAATTGTCATCTGGCTTTTTGGCAACGTGTCCAATGTGTCGTTAAACCTCGTAAACTGTACATCCCATAAGTAAATGTAGCTTAGGATCGTGATCTACTTACCGAATAAACTGTGGGCAACTACAGTGATTTGTGATCCTTTTTCATTATTTTTATTATGTATAACTTTTTATTATTGATATGTTAAGTAGTTACCGGAGACACACTTTGAAACATTATTCTCTAATTTGGCTCTCGCACCCTTTAAATTGAATCGGATCTCTGCTTTGTGGCAGTGGTAGGTAGGTAGGGTTTATGTCCGTTTACAATACGCCCTATTATCACTAATAACACAAATAATATATTTTGTTGCGGATTTGATTTATCTTTCCTTCATTGTGTAAGTCATTTGTGAACATTGGATTAAGTACGTATTTCATTGAAAAAAAATCGTAAATCGTTCAACACGAGTAGGTACATCAGTGTGCTTTTAAAAAACTCGCACTAAGCACGCAGGCGTCTAATACTTTAGGCCTTACTTAGTTATATTTTATGCTATCGTCACAAAAATTTTGATGAAACTTTTTATCGCGTGTAACGTCCAATCATCGTAATGTAAATAATAGATTTCGTTTGACCAGGAAGGATTATGTGTATAATAATTTACATATCCTTCGTTTTAATCATTCACTTTATTCACGCATGTTTGCTTTATTTGTTCACGATTAAATTACTCTCATTTTATAAACTGAGAAGAATTGACAGCGCGCTGATTTTCACAAATTTGGAGATACAAACAACTCGGAATTTGCCAAAAAAATAATCAAATTGCTAGTTCAAGATATTAATGCGTAATTAACTAATATCGTTGCTCAGGATTAAAATATCAAATATTTTTTTAATAATTTATATAGTTTATAATTTTAATAAAATTTATGATTCTCCTCTGAAATTAGAGAATTGTAACAATATATTTACAAAATTACTAATATAACAATGTTTAACACACTATCCACAAAGAAATGTAATAACAATAAATCTGATGAGACAAAGTAGGCGACCATGAACTTATTTATCTTTTTTTTTTAACGCTGGAGAATCTATTTACGGACCGGGCTATGTCCGACTCCGGCGCCTCCAGAGAGAAAGAGGGAGACGAGGAGGACTAAGGTCGTCCACCTCCCCCAATTCCTAAATTAAGTGAAGATTAACTTATCTACCCTAATCAATGTATGTAGCGTCGAGTCTCCGGTTCATTTGAGATACTGGCGCCACAGCCGGTCACTCCTTTAATTGAATATGCAATTTCGAAAAGGGCACATGTCGCATATTTTGTCAAATACATTTTTTCATATAGATGTACCTACACCCATTTTATAATAATTCCAGTAATTTTCAATTGCCAATTAACACTAAAATATATCTCAAAAGTTAATATTTTAAATTTTACACTGCTTTAGAAAATGATCAGTTCCTTTTCATTTCCTGAACATTTTACTTTTTTCAGAGATGTGCCCTTTTCGAAATTGCATATTCAATTAGTCTCTAACAGTATTTTTATATCTTTGTTTCGTAATAATGTACAGTTGTTTAAGCATACATTATTATGATTAAAATATTACAAAAACTAACATAATATTTTTTGAAAAATGAAATTGTTGATATTGCAGAGAGCGATGGGTTGCGCGTTTCCGGAACAGTCCGAGCACGCGTTTGTTCTCTCAGTTAGGTTCGTTGCATGAAGAGTGATATACTACAATCGCCCGAAATATTACAATAACAAATAATAATAAAATAACATTTATGAAAAAAAACTGTAATGCTTGCATATCGTAGAAGTGTCAGAAACATCCCAAGACAAGTAAATAAACACTAATATCTTGTTTAATCGTGTTATTAAATCCAAATAGAGTTTATTAACAAAGAGCCCGCTACTGAAAAAAATCGCTTTCATAAAACCTTTTTTTATACTATGCTGAATATGTACATAGTTTCTCGAATACAAGCGACGAATCCGCGATATACTAGGCGATCTCCTACCACTGATTGCGTTATAATAAAAAAACGTCTTAAACGCATGTATTCGAAAAACTCTCCCATAGAAAAACTAAAGTCGGCTGTGAGATCAATAAAAAAAAGATAGTGTCTATACATACAAAAGTGCTTTGTGAGGTTACCGGTCACCGTCGCCGAACCCGTCTCTTTCGACGAAGGGTTCGACGAGTAAATTAACCCATAGACACAGTCCACTGAGTTTCTCGTCGGATCTTCTCAGTGGGTCGCGTTTCCGATCCGGTGATAGATTCTGCGAAGCACTGCTCTTGCAAGGCCAGTGTTAGCAACATTCCCGGCTTGAGCCCCGTGAGCTCACCTACACGTTAGAGTTACGCTGACATAGCCTCTCAAGGCTATCAGATAAGGTACGAAAAAAAAAGTGTATGTATGTATCCAGTAGTAAGAGTCAATTTTTTTTTCTTCCATAGTATTAAATACTTCTTAGTGACTCAAATTTAAATCGCTAAATCTTTATATAATCTTTGCTTGAGCCCCGTGAGCTCAGCTACTAGCTCGGTGAATATAGAATAACTCCTCGAGGTTACTAGAGAATAGGTAGAAAAAAAAGGTGAGATTGATTCTTAATTTTTTTTATCGTTTGTTTAATCGTTTCCAGGGCTGGGTGACGGCGGCTCCCGGACGATGTCGACTGCGGAACTGTCTGACGGAGGATCGGGGCAGCACAAGAGGCGATGGCACTCGTCGTGCGGCCGGCTGCCCTCGTGCCGGCTCACGTGATGGACGCGTGACGCAGCAGATAAACTGCCTCCATAAAAGCACCGGATCAGATCTTGAGCGTCCGACGAAATAATATCGGGGATCGGTTACAAAAAAAGAATAATAATAATAATAACAGCACCGGCTCGGATCTTGAGCGTCCGGCGAAATAATATCGGGATCGGTTACAAAAAAAGAATAATAATAATAATAACAGCACCGGCTCGGATCTTGAGCGTCCGGCGAAATAATATCGGGATCGGTTACAAAAAAAGAATAATAATAATAATAACAGCACCGGCTCGGATCTTGAGCGTCCGGCGAAATAATATCGGGATCGGTTACAAAAAAATAATAATAATAAAAGCACGGACTCGGATCTTGAGCGTTCGGCGAAATAGTATCGGGAATCGGTTAAAATAATAATAATAATAACAACAGCACCGGCTCGGATCTTGAGCGTTCGACGAAATAACATCGGGGATCGGTTACAAAAAAAATTAATAATAATAAAAGCACAGGCTCGAATCTTGAACAGCTCTTTAAATAAATAAAAAATTAGTAACGGTGTAATATTTCTATACAAGGTCTCATATATATTATTTTACTGGTGGTAGTCTTGAGTTCGTACGGGTAGGTACTGCCACCCTGCCTATTTCTGCCGTGAAGCAGTAATGCGTTTCGGTTTGAAGGGTGGGGCAGCCGTTGTAACTATACTTGAGACCTTAGAACTTATATCTCAAAGGTGGGTGGCGGCATTTATGTTGTGGATGTCTATGGGCTCCAGTAACCACTTAACACCAGGTGGCCTGTGAGCTCGTCCAACCATCTAAGCAATAAATAAAAAAATATGTCTATGGGCTCCGGTAACCACTTAACATCAGGTGGGCTGTGAGCTCGTCCACCCATCTAACCAATAAAAAAATTTATAGTATGAAATCTGGACTATACAAGAGCAGTAAAAAATGTTGCAGTGAATTGTTTGTATGCTTGTTACCGCCCGTAGAATGAATCGTGAAGCTACCTTGAATAAGCATGGTTGCTTGGCGGGTGTATGCAGGACTGATGCACAATTCGCGACAGAAGGCAGTTTCCTTATCAAATTGGATACGGGTCGTTGTTGGTGCAGCTGTCCATGGACGCACGGACGCGCTTGCAAGAACTACCCGTAACTGGTTTTTTAAAGAGGTTGAACTCTCCAATTATTCTGATAAACACACATTAAGGATGTTTCAACTTTAGCTTCTGTACATACTAATTGAGATCTTACATAAATATGTTTACTAATTATTATTTAGAAAAGAAGCTATTGTTTAAATAAATGAAAAAAAAAACTAAACAAAGAGCTAACACGTTGTTTTTCTATAAAATATATTAAAAATATTGTCTGATTTGTCGATGCGATCATAACACGTCCTGTCCAAAAATGTAAATCGATGCAAACAAGAATGAATCGTCCCGATATCGTGTTCGTCTTCATGTAACCAAACAGCTATAAAATTCCCTACGCACCGATGACAACAAACGCTCAAGATCCGACCCGATTATTACACTTTACGACTTATTTACTTGACACATGATCCAAATCACCAAAACTCAAACCTCCAAGACGTCTATGAAAATAATCGAATAATATTGTACTGCCAACTGAAGAAATAAAGTGCCTGATTCTAAAATAGTACATCTCGTTTCGTCTCGTTACGTTGAATTGTTGAAATATATATATAATTATAATACTCTGTATTTATCCCACCGTAACTGCATTTTTCATTTGCAGATTATGTATTAGAACAAGTTAAGTAAATGTAATGAGTAATTGAAAATGGCTTTTACGTGTCGAGAAATAACGTAACGATACTTTAGAAATGTGCTAAAGATACATTAAAACAATATTGTTATGTATTTGTTAAATCCTTTCGACATATGATAAATATGCCTCTTGGAAGAACTGTGTTCTAGTAATTAAGTCGTAAAACTTTAATTGAATAGAATATTCGTTTACGTAAACAAAACTGTTTTCGACTTTAGAAATACAGCAAAGTTATGTTCAGTGTTGCTTTTGTTAAAATATATTCCGGATTGTTAGTGTTGCCAACTTTCTCTGCTGTTTGTTGTTTAAACATTCGATTTCATAGTATTTACGACGTATGTTTGCACCCGGTGTCGTTTATCTGTGAACTTACATTACAGAATCTATTTTAACTTAATGATGAGTTAAAGAGTTCGTCTACGGTATGAATACTTAATGGTATTAGTTTGAATTTGTTTGTAAAACATTATTTTGTATCTCGGTATATCATATGATTTAGTATATACATACATACCACTAGTATTCATTTCTGAATGTCGTTTTGTTTGTTAATGTACTGTATGTTTTTTTATAAGTCATTTTTATATGTATAGAGATTTTGTTGCACCCTTAATATAGTGCGTTAGTTACAATTGACATATACATTTGTAAAGTAGTACCTGTTTTAAACTATTGTTGGCGCGTTTGTATAAGATTAGAGCGTTTTTTAGCGTAATTGAGTAGATCTCAAATTACAGTGGCAATAAAGAGATATAAATATTTTTATACTTACATAGGACTTAGTTTGTCACTTGCCGAACATTGAGGATCACGTTAATTCATATTAGTTACATATTAAATCGATGCGTGAATTAATTTGCGAATACATATCTGAAATATATACCTAAAATTTATTAAGTATTATTGTTTGTTCGACTGCACTTTGAATGTTTTGCATAATGCCGACCGCTCAGTACTAAAGTCGGTTAATAAATGACGTTATTTTGATATGCAAATTTACGGGCATTGTATTGTTCGATTATTTATTAAAATCGAGCTACACCTTGCAGAAATCGCAAAAAAATATTTACATTGGCGAACCGATACGAATTATTTATCCTTTTTTTTTTTAAATTGTAACGAAAAGTACAAATTTGTGTGAGTGTTTTTTAATTAACTAAACGATAAAGTACTGAGTGGCTCATAATAAATAGGGCAACGTCGTTCAATTAATTACAGTATTATGAGTTCAGAAATACGGAGCTAATATATACTAAATCAGCAATAATTTTGAATCGATTGACTGAATTCATCACGAAAGTTCATTGACCTCACTTTTTAACCGTCACTTTAGATTATATCATAATAATATATCTAGTGTGATAATTATTGAAAAAAAAAACCTATATTTTTCGAATAATGGATTATGTGTTTAGTAACTAACTGCTTAGTTAATTTTTGAGCAGTGCGTAGTTTTAGCTTCATAAGAGCTTTGGTGGAATATCAAAAGGATCGTCGTGTTTGTGTATCGTGCTGTGTGTGCAATTTTAGATGAAAAGATTTCGCTCTTGATTAGGTTAGGTTAGCCATATTATAATGAGATTATCGATTTGCTGTTATGATCTCTGATCGCCAAAGGCGTAAAGAAGAGTATTTTAGATTCAATATGTTTTATGTATTTACCTCATCACTAGTAGTAATAATATAGTTTTTAAAAAGTGAGGTCACTGACTTTTCGATTAGGTGCATACCTATAATTGAGCATACCTATAAATGGAGTGGATGTTTATTTAGTGCCTGAACAACAAAAACAAAATTTAAAAAAAAGAAGAATATTAATATATTGTAAATAAAAAGTGAAAGTAAAATTTAATGTTTGTTTTTATTTGTTTCTTAATTTCCCAATCAGTATCTGCAAGCGGAGTAATCTGTCCCGTCAAATAGACTCTCAAAATTTTGCAATTTCTATTTTCTAGAGTAGCCGTTGGAATGCGGAGGTAGGAAATATAGATCTTCGCAACGTTTTAGGTTTTTAACCTATTTTTAAATACATGAAGTGAGCACTACTTAGCGACGTGATAACGTCCTTAACAAGGCCGCCGCTAATTGCCTTTTGGCTAACTAATCATAGTTCGAACCCTAACAGTAAACCAAGCACATGTTACCCTGCTCTTCGAAGAGTTTAATGACAGTTCATAGTATCGGCCCACTGAGTTTTTTGCTGGTCTTAGAGGGTCGCGATTCCGATCCGGTGGGAGATGCACTGGTTGTTATTCCTAAGGCGTTCGAACAGTTAATTTATCTTCAAAATTCTACTTTTACACGATTGGTCCTGTTGTTAGTTGTTAACAAGGCTTAGCCCACTGAGTTTCTCGCCGGATCTTCTCAGTGGGTCGCGCTTCCGATCCGGTGGTAGATTCTGCGAAGCACTGCTTTTGCTAGGGTCAGTGTTAGCAACACTCCGGTTTGAGCCCCGTGAGCTAACCTACACACGTTAGGGTGAAGCTGAAATAGCCTCTCAAGGCTATCAGCATAGGTAGGGAAAAAAACAAGGCTGTGTCTACGCCCATCCATCCTGATGAACCTGGAAATCATCCAAACAAAAAATTAATTTACATTTTACAACTTTACATTTAAATTTTACTATCCATGAAATTTTTAATGCATCTACTACTCAAAAGATACAACCATCACAATATATATAAAGCTTTGTAGTGGCACCAAAATACAAATAACTAACGTAGATACGCATCATGTCATGTCTTATCCCAATTGAAATTGCATAGAAATCGATTAGTTACGGCATATTGATGTAATTAAAACCGTAAATAATGAAGATCGAAGCTGGATTTTCGTAACTTTGTCTCTTACATCTAGCACACGAGCAGAATTTATTCAGTTATTTATTTATTCATCACAACATGCAATTAGGTTCATTGCATTAATACGTCGCATAACAGTTCCAGTTTTTGTTTAGTTATACGGTTATGTTATTGGGTTATAGTTTGATATACTACATAAGAAGAGATCGTGCGTTACAGATGAAATTATAGTCGTGTCAAATTAGACATCGTCTCAAGGTCGGCGAAGGTATTGGGCTATGGTGTTTATGGACTACGATAACCGATAAATACGTTAACTTGTGGTTTCCGATCGCAATGAGTTTACATTTTTAATAAACTTCAAAGAGAAGAGCAATGAATTCGACATTTCAATTTTTTTTTTGAAATTAAATTAATAACGAACGTTTCCGTATTTTAGTACTGTTTGTCGCGTTCTTGGCCTCGGAGTACTTGCGCCTTTCGCGAGAAGTCGACAGGATCGAGTTGCACAAATCCATAATGTAGGTACCTACGTAATTTCTAAGCGTTTAACAATTCCTGGCTTTTCATATGGGAAACTTCACGGTTGCTTTAATATTTGTTAGGATAAGCTTATTGAAAACAATTCGAAATATAACACTAATAATAATCGAAAAAACCTGCGAAACCCGGGGGCAGCCTGATGTGTGCAATCGGTATCCGCTAAAAACTTCTAGACGCGGCCAATCCTAATATCGAAATAGTTCCAGTGTGGTAGGACCTCTTGTGAGTCCGCACAGGTAGGTACCACCGCCCTGCCGATTTCTGCGGTGAAGCAGTAATGCGTTTCGGTTTCAAGGGCCGGGCAGCCGTTGTAACTTTACTGAGACCTTAGAACTTATGTCTCAAACTGGATGGCGGCATTTACGTTATAGATGTCTATAGGCTTCGGTAATCATTTAACACCAGGTGGGCTGTGAGCTCGTCCACTCATCTACGCAATAAAAAAAGCTATGGGAACAGTTCAGAACACAAAATACTAATTATTAAAAAAAAACTCACTTATCATGAAACTGTACCATC